TTTTTTTTATAAATTCTTGTATTTTGTAATATTTTTTTTTTCAAATTCATACAATTTTTTCCGCAAAATTGTGCACATATCACTTTGTAACTTTGTAATTACGCAAAAGAGTCTTGCTTTGTCACTGAAATTGAAATTGACACAATGTATTCTTCACTTTATATTTTTATCCGTTTACTCTGCAGAGCAAATGTTAATTTAAAGCGCAGCAGATTAAAAACACATGTTCTTCCACCACCTTTGTTACTATTTGTTCCAACATGAACTACGCACTGTCGGCGACGTGATTTAATGAGTCGCGACAGCGTTTGCGGACACGTGTTTGACGATTTTCTCGTTGTGCTAATTAAAGAGCAATTCACGAGGTTGCCCCGTATTTGGTTAATCTCTTTTTGCCTTAAACGCCATTAAGACTCGATCAATTGTTAAGTCAGGTCACGCACCAATAGTTATTTACGGACGGGATTAACATTGAACTTGTTACAGAGAAGAAAGACCCTTGTCATTGTTCAATCTGCAAGTAAATTTCAAGAATTATATTTTGAATTTGGATGATTTTAAATTTTGACCGGTGAAAAAGTATGTTAAAAAAGGTTTAAATATTAAATTTTACTCTAGGAAGTGTAATTAATTTTTAACCTAAAGTAAAATTTTCACGAAAGTCTTTTTTTATCAAGTTAAATTTTAATGTTTTGTGGAATTAAAATAAAATTCAATTCTAAAATTAAATTAAAATCAATTTACACTGAAAAGCAAAAAAAAATCCATTTGAGTAAAGCGGTCGATGAACTTTTGAATTTCGTTTTTTATAGTTCGGTTTGTCTTTTCGTTTTAGCATAAAATAAAGTTAGCCATTCAACGTCAGCAGTGTCAATAATCTTTTTGGCTCCACTTAAAAGATTTTTGGCCCAGCGAAAACCGTGTGATTATGACGTCTTTCTGGAATTGCTAATAAATTATAATCTTGATGCTGGATGCCGGACGAAAAAGGCCTGTTTTCTTTCCTTTCCTTGCCTCGCCTTTAGTTATAAAATACTGGCAATCTCTTTAAAATGCATTTATGCAGAATCGTGTGAATGCAAATCGAGTAGAGTTTTATAAGATGAAGCCATTAAGCGTGATTTGATTATCCGCCAGTTGTGTTGGTTTTGCGTCTGTCGACTAAGGGACTCCCACCGGCGCAATAATGACCCGCATATATTGTTGTTTGTGGTGATGCCTCTTGGGCGAGTGTGTTGTGCTGTATTGATGGCTTTTATTGATGCAATTATTCGGCTCGGCGAACGGCGAACATAAACAGGCAAATTTGTAATAAGCTTATTTTCACATCATCAAAAACAATCACATCGCGCCTCTGTGAAAATGAAACTTTTTTAATTTTTAGTTGAATTAATTTTTTGCTTCATGTAAATTGAATTCTTAAAAATTGAATGAAATTAAATTACCGCGATTTGCTCTGAACTTGTTATCAGCAATACATTTTACAAATTAAAAGATATGTTATGTAGCGCAAGTCTGTGTAGAAAATGATATATTTTTTTTTTCCAAAATAATGTACGGGGAAAGCACAAACAGAGGAAAGCATAAACTTGCTAGATTAGAGAACACTTGTTAGAAAGAGTACAAAATTTATAAAAAATTTATATTTACAAAAATGAATAATGAACAGAACTTTGTCAAATAAAATGAATATCGTATTAATGAACTATGCTATTAAGTACTTCATTAATTCAAATTATATTTAATATTATCGTTATTATTTTAACTTCTCTGGTTGTTTTCTTTACATGCAAATAATTTAATCTGATGTGATCCGCCCTCAGCATTGGCTTTTGGCGTATGAAAAAAATTAACTCATTTTTCATCAAGCTCTTAAATATCATTTATTAATTATACATATTTTCTCTGAGGCTGTAAATAAACCGCCGAACTTGCAATGTCAAATTTAGTGTCAGTTTTTTTTCATAATTATTGGTATAATAATGCCGGGCAGAATTTTACCTCATTGCACTGCACTTCATATAATATGCAAGTGGCTCTCAAAGTACGAGCAACAAGGCCGGGAGGGTGATTTACTCCGGCAATGGGCAAATTACCTGGCGATGCCTGTCTCGTAAAGTCACAGATTACCTGTCACATAATATGAAAATCACCGCGATATGCACTCACCATTAGGCAACCTCTTGTTCCACGCTCACAGCGGTCGGTCGACAGAGTTCAAATTTAAAACTGAAGCTCATTTCGGATCTGAATTTCTCATTTGCAACGACAATTTATAAATATCTCAGAAGGTTCTTATTGGTAAAAGATGAAATGATGAGAAATTTCATGTAAATATTTTTTCCTCAAAATTGTTACAAAAATTGTAAAATATTGAAAGAAAAAGCAACTTTTACTAGGGAAACCTCAAATTTTTGGACAAAAAGGCACCATCAATAGCAAGGATTTTATAAATGAATAAAAAGTATATTTTTATCTTTTAGTTTTAGAACTAAGAACAATTTCTTAATGGCTCTTATTTAATTTGCTTTAATTAAAACTTGACTTTGAAACTTTGCAGACCTTTGCTTTTTAATTAAATTTTTATTTCATCCACATTTTGTTTTTCAAATTGGAACTCCATTGAATTAGACACCAATGATATAATGTATTAAAAATAATTTTTGGTAATCAATTCTTGTACAAAATGTATGAAAGGCGCGGAAATTTGAAAAAGATTATTTGAATTGATCAAATAATGTACAAAAAAAGCTTTAAATTAAACGATAATTTTTTTATACATTTGCAATCAGGCTTGAAATTCTAGTTTTCCCCTTGCTTGAATTGAAGTAAAAAAATCAGTAGCTCTTTTTTATAGGTTCCAGATTATTTTTTGCTCTCAAGCTGTCTTCGATAACATATTGCTATTAATGGGCGATTGGCTAATTCTCGCGGTGAGTCGTGCCAATAAATTACCCTTGCCATTTTCGGCGGACGCATCAAAGCCAATTTCTCGCTCATTGAAATTCGCGTCAGGCTGTGTGGTCGCACTAATTGATTAGTGGCAAGCATTGCTACTGATGACACGAACTTCGGAGGAATTCAATCAAGAGCAACGGGATCGATTATTTTCCGCTGCGAGCTGTGATACCTGCAATCTCATGTTGGCAGCCTGTAATTTTGTAAATAAACCGCGACATTTACATGTCATTAGAGTGCCGTACAAGGATTCAATTTGCTCTTCGATCCTCTGTAATTCGATGCATCATCATTCAAAATTGCACACGAGCTGAATTTTTATATTTCCGATGACGTTCGCCAACTTGTGTAATTAATTAATGACCTCCCTGTCCTGCATTCGGTCGTAAGTTTCTCTCTTTACCCGAGCATTTTTGACAGATATGATTGCGTCGAGAGCGGTTTACTAATTTCCATAATTGAACAAATACCTGGTGCTCTGGAACAAGAAGATATTTCTTTTTAAATTTCCAAATGAAGTTTAATTATTTTATTTGCGTTTCAAGCGGTGACGATCGTTATCGTAAGTTAAACGACGACTCATTTGAAAGATACACTCAATTATTGCAACAGATACTGCTCGTAATGAATGTCGCTTTTATATTTCCCTACATAGGGAGTTGCGCACGCACGCAGCGATGTCGCGAAGGCAATAAATAATTTGCGATCGCCCGGGAACAAGGCAAATGAAGGTGAAATGTAAATCATTGTTAATTTCCTAGATTGCAACAAACTGACTCATTTGATTAGACGCAGTCTATGACGAGGCTAGATTATTTACTGAAATTATTTTAAATAAAATTAAATAATTACTTTATTATCGTCTCATATACTTTAAAGAGAGCCATAGAAAGAACAAATTATTTTTCTTAAAAAAAAAAATTAAAAAAAATGTGCACTATAATTTTGACACTTAAAACTTCACAGAGTTGTAGGAATAGTATTAAGGTTATTTCATTCAGGAAAGTAGAACTCAACTGATTAGTCATGATATATCTTAATTGTTTTCATATATCTGGCATGTCGGTTACTTCAAATGATAATTTTATATATTACATGTTTCATTTAATTATTTAGACAGTAAAAATTTTTTAATAATTTAGATTGTTAAATTTATTTTGCAAGATGGATAAATTATGTAAAGTAAAATTGATTTCAACAGTTTATCATAACCTTGAAAAATCTTTCTATAAAACTATCATTATTTCCTGATGGGAGACATTTCTCTTCTTTTCAATGCATTCGGAGATGATTTGTCGAATTGAAGACCATCAATGTGACAAATTGACACAGACGCTTTTGTTCCTATCACAAATGCCACTCATAATATCCGTTTTTCTTTTCCTGGTGTCAACGTCTCCAAAAATGTCATGACTGTATGTCTGTGACCTTGACCTCGGCGGTGCAAGTGAAAATCGTCAGAATCAAAGACTGGTGGTGGCAAAAACAGACCACCTGGGAGGCCCATTTTGCTGCAAAGTGTTGAGACTTAATTACACCCGCGATCAACATGCAGGACCACACTCTTCGCGAGAAAAGCGTCTACGTGATGTGTATCGCAGTGAAAAATCAAGTACTTTAATACTCTGCCTTTTGATATTTATGGTAGTCGGAAATTTATTGGTTAAAAATAGAAAAAGTTGACAGTTGGAACGAGACTTGGTTGTGGAAATTTAAACATTTACAATTAATTTCTTTAAAGAAGAAGTCATTTTCTTCAACATAGTAAGGCTAAGCAACAGCGAAAAAGAACACAATTTATCTTTCCATTTTCAGAATAATAAAGTTATGCAACAATAAATACTATTTAATTCATGTGATAAAATATGACGAGAAGAGATTAATTTTTTTTTGTTTTCTCAAATTTCATTGAAATTTCATTAGAATTCAAATTCAAATGTAAGCTAATTTAAAAATTCAAGTTCTATGTTCATTCTGGTGAGAAAGATCTCTTTTTTCTTTGAAAAGGTGACTTTTATTCTGATCTAATTTTTTTTTTGCAGCGCAAACATCCTCATGAGCAGGTGCCAAATCTCCAAGATCTTCCGCAGTGCTCACGTTTCAATGTAAGTACAGCCTTTCGTTTATTCCTTTCTTAAACTGTCCGTTCGTCGCCCCCCGAATATGCAAATGGGCAAAGCAACCTTTCGGTAATTAAATGCGAATATTTATGGCACGACTCTTTCGGCGAATCGTAATTCCTAAAAGAATGGCGCGTCCAAATGTTCTCGCTCTGGTCCACGCCTTGCTTTTGCAGTCAGATACAATAATTCGCACACACGCAGATCGCATCTTGAGAAAAGTCGTCCCTTTTAGCTGCTTCGTGCAATTACGCTTTTCGCATCTGAAAATTTACTTGGCGATGAATCGGACCATTTTAAAAAGCTGCGCCCAAAGGCGGAAAATAAAGAAAACGTTTCTGCTTTTTTTAATTGAGCTTCAAGTTACCTGAGACGTGGCGCGTGAATTATTATTTATTGCCCGCAAGAGACGGAATAATATTTATCTTGGAATTACCGTTAAAAGTTATTCCTTCTGCCAGATTCGATTACACAAAGAAAAAAAGTGCAATTTGAACCGGCTTGAAGTTTTGCGCGTCCTTTGAACAAGTGCCAAAATTTTTATCTCTTTACGCTCTGACAAAATGAATTTCATGTCTAAAATGACAATTGTAATTTTTTAAAGTTATACATAATTTAAAAATATAAATTTAACCATTAATAATAAGTTTAATTGTATTTTTGTTTTTGTAGATTTATAGAGCTCTTTAGATTTGAGGAGCTCTTTTTGCTACTTCGCAAAAAATAATTTACTTCATGTTAAAATTACTGAATAAGAGTAGAAAATTACTCTTTAATTTAATAACAGAGCAATAAGAAAAGGAAAATCTGGAATTTTGAGTTTGAGAATAGCAAATAATTTTCTTCAATTCAATGCAATTTCTCATTAATATTTTAATTTTCAGGCTTCATTTTTCCAACTCCAATTTTACACTCCTTGAATATTTTAGTTACAATTTTTTTTATTTTCGAAATCCACCAGCATTTATTTAGTGATGAAGTGTTGTCGATGGATTGGCTGCGGCATCCTCTCTTCAATTTGGGACTTCACTTCTTGTTCAGCAAAGTTCACGCGGCGAGGTCACCATGAGATCACTTGCACGAAAGGTTGAAACCCATTCTTCTCCTGAGTGATACACATGCAGATCACTTTCACTTCTGGTGCCCTATTGGAAAACATCGGCGCATCATCCGCTATTTTCGCATCTCATGCTTCCCTTCGTTTGACACACTCTCAATGATGATGTGATTTGATCCGTGTATAATTAACGTGTCAAAGCTATGCTGAGCGAACTCCGACATTTCAATTGGGGGCAAATTTTCTGCTTCTTTGAATAATTCTGAGGAAAAATATAAATATTTCCATTCCATCTCTTCAATGCATCTAGAAATGCAAAATAATTATTAAATTGAATGTACATTACTATTATTGATTATTTTACTAAAAATTCTTTTTACTGTATTATTTAATTTAAAAAATTAATCATTTTTAACCAATTTTAATATAATCATAATACTTTTCTTATCATGAGAAAAGGTTTATGTGTGCAACAAAATTAAACTTTCTAGGGGTTTTTTATTAAAAGATAATTTACATTTATTTATTATTATTGATTTATATATTTAGTGAAGTACACTCTGGATACCTATTATGAATCTGATCAATGACATTAAATACCTTGACTGTGTTATTTTATTTTACAATTGATTTTTATTAATATATTTGGAGTGGATATTTTTTCGGATAAGTTTAAGTAGAAATAACAATAATAACTTTATTTTCTCTCCTGTATGTCATGTAAATAATTGAAAAAAAAATGTAAATAGAATTGAAGTAAATAATGTTAGCTTTTAAAATGGCGATTATAAAAGCAATATATCTATTTAACAAAACTTTGCATAAATTTACTTACTCGTAACAATGATTATTGATTTCCCATATTGCCATTGTTATGCGCCATTAATTCTTTTGTATTTATTATTTGTAATCAAATTCCACAGTTCGATCAGTTAATTACTTTGTAATTAAATCGTCTTCAACAATAAAGATCAAAGATCGAGTTACGCTTGCGGAACGGTGTTGATGAAGGTTTTAATGTAATTACAGAGAGCGCGCCGCTAATACGATTAATTGCAGGCGACCAAAGACAATGTGTGCGGCACCGTCGGCGTAATAAAGACAAAGAAAGGCCTGTAGTGGGCGTCATGAATGGTTTCCACGCGGGGAGTTTTCCCAATTCCACGCTGGCGAAGGAAGGTGTCGCGATTCTCTCGTACGCATCAGCCAGCACACCTTTTTCAGGGCATTGTTGTCACGCGCAGAGACTCGTTTCGGCCGCCACGATGGCCAGGGTCAATGCCTCGCTTCATCAAAAAAACACAGAAATGCGGAACTCTCCGTTTTGGAAAGAGATCACCTGGAAGAAGTAGTATTTTTTATTAATTTTAAAAATCTTTCTGAAGATTTTTTTGTCCCAAAGAAGGCTTTGGAAAATTACTGCGCTGACACTACAAAACAATTTCTAAAACGGCTAAAACAGAAAAAATTAAATAAAAATCAACTGAGGCAGTGAGCCTTGGTAAAATTTTCTTAAAATGACTTACATTAAACCTTTTTTTAATGTGATTCAAAATAAATTATTTTTTGTTTCTTTGTTTCATGATTTTTGAGGATTTAAAAAAATATGAAAGATATATTTGAATAAATTTTACTGTTGAATGAAATGATTTCTGGTAAAAAAAATTTCAAAAATATTAATTAATTCCAAAAAAGTTGAAAAAAAGGTTGGTGAAACTTATGTTAATTTTTTTATGTTCATCAAAAGGCAACTGTTGACAAAAATTAGTGATGTAATTATGGCTTCTATTGATTCCTAAATGTAAAAGATTAAAAATAAAATGTAGAGATTTTGAGAAATTACTATATAATAATATATAGAATTCTAAATTGGACAAAACAAATTCCATTTTTAATTATTTGATCATTAAAATCTATATTTAAGAATCCTTTCAAGGACCTTTGAAAAATTTATGTAATTGCGCAAATCCACAATGTCATTGACACTCATTATGGAAATTTGCGCAGCTATAAGTTAAAATCCACTTGTATGTAATAAATAACAAAACTTGTCACCTGCACTTGAGTCCGACAAAGAAATTTCATCAGCATTCGTTAGGTGTGGTTGAAAGCGAAAATTTCCATATGTTCGATCTGTCTGTCAACACGCGCAATTTCACACTAATGAAATTTATTAGCGAAAATCCTCTCCTCTTTTCATATCAAGCGATAAAAGGAATTTGACGCAGCAAAAGAGAGGATCGCACATGAGCTCGCATGCGTGCGTTTTATTAATTACAAACTCGCGGCGGTGTCAAAAGCTAAAAGCGTAAAATAATTATGCTGGTAATTTACTGTTTAGCGCTGCTCTTTTTGTGCCGTGTATCGTAAATAATCCTCCTTAATCGCGCTTCAACTGCTATTAACCGCAACAATTTTGGACAAATACTATATATCCATTGATTGGTGAAATTGATAGATTATATTTAATTAAAATAACACCTACTAGTTTTTGTTTCTAATTTATAATCTGATATTCTGCCACCCATCATGGTACGTTTGTCAAGGGAGATTCGTCCCAATTTCCAACATATTTTGTAAGCAACTATGCGACGGTTTTAAATTTTTGTGAATCTCACTCTCCTTAAATGCAAATCATGTTGTGCACTCTTTAAAAAATAATTTAACTTTTTAATTTTACACCACCCCTCCATACGCCCCTTAGAAACTATAATTTATTTAATAGCATATTTATAAAATGACTCAAATGACTTGCATAGCATGTGTGCAACTGGGTAAATTTTCAGAGGTTAAAAGAATAAAAATGTGATGCCTCACTTCAAAAACATTCCTTTGGAATTAATTTTAATCTCTATTTAAATTTTCTACAGTGATTTAGAAGCTAGGAACTTCTATCCATCTATCTAACGGCACAAATTTAATTGAATGACTGCCTCTGTAATTAATTGAGAAATTAAAAATGGCCATTAATGGCGTTATTGTTTATGCGCGGCCATAAATTAGCGAGAGCGGTTCACATTGAGAAGCGACTGCCGCCAAGTGACGGCAATTTATTTTTGCCTTAAATAACGCACGCAGGCGTCCGAGAGGAATGTTATTTTCCTCTGGAAACCCACGCAGAATTGATAGGTTAGCGCGTTGACTTCATTTACACGGCGGGACGTAAATAAATTAAAAAAAAAAAAAACAACAACAATATCACACCTGAAATGAGAGGACTTAATTTGGCGAAATGAAATACGTTTTTCCTCATTCTAAATAAATCTTCATCATTTTTGCTGCAGGGTTTATGAATTTGAAATGAAGAGGCCGGTGAACCCGCGTGAAGAATTATGTTATTCTGCTTGTTGTCAGAACAATGCGCAACTGCTGAAAAAATTATGCGGAATCTTGTTTGAGCAGAAGTGCAGATGCATGGTCTCCCGCGAAGATAAACCTGAATTTTTGCGTCTCTCGTTGCGTGCTCTTTTTCACAATTTTAGTTCAAAATACTCTCTCGTAAAGCACATTGGACAGTTACTTATGTCAACGTCGCACACAAAAATTGTGTAAAATTTTACCGGTTTAAATCTCTGTGCCAACTTTAAAAAAAAAGGAAAGATACTTAAAATTTAGGGGTAAATAAATTAATATAATGCACAACACTGTTTTAGAATCAAATCTATGGAAATTTTTTAGTTTAATCTCGGCTCATAATGAATATCCTTGCTTAATTATATAATATTAAATTTATACAAGACATACAAGCGTATTTAATGACATGGATCTCTGAAATGGCTGAAGACTAATTCTTGTAATTTAAAATTTTCAGCTAAATTTTTGTAAATTGTGCATTTACTGCACAATTTACAGTTTCTTTTACAGATCTTGTTGTCCAAAATTTAGTTTATTATTATCAAATTTTTTTGGTTCCTAAAATAATTTAACA